GTGTTTTGGGGTAACGACACGAAGTTCTGTTTAACAAAAAAAGGGAAAGACCTTCATTGCTGAGAAGACCATTGTTGTTTTCCTTGCCTATCTGAATTGAGGATTGAAAAAAAAAATGTAGGAGTAACACGTTGTTGAAAAGGGGAGGACCTCGATGCTGAAAAAACCTTCATTGCTTTCATTGCAGATTTGAGTAATTTCCTTACAATTTTTTTTCGCCCATTTCTTTTTTGTCAAAAATCTCAAACTACTCATCTATCGCCTTGGCTGAGTAATTCTCTTTTGTCTTTCTTGTCAAGTATGATTTTTTGAAATTGATTCTTCTTAAGTTTTTGGTTAACTCTCCTAAGCCCGAAATCTGTTTTAAAAAATATATATAAACAATAATAATAACAAAAACAGGAAATTTACCATAGATTTAGTTTGATCTCACAGGTTTATTAATTTTATAGATCTATTGCTTGTAAAAAAAAAGGAAAAATAAGTATATATATATAAAAGATCAGAATTATGGGACCGAATTGTTTTTGTTGACTTATATAAATTGATGTTGTATTTTGGGTTTTATTCCCAACAATCCTAGAAAGCTTCAGCCTCTTCTACAATGGTTTTAATTGTCACGTCTTAAGCTTCCTTAACCTTAAGCTATCCTCTGCTCTCTTTGGAGATTTTGTTAGAAATTGCTTGTAACAAATTAACTATCTTTCACACTAAGTTTGACTAGGAGTGTGTTCGAATAATACTGATTAGTTTATTGGGTCAACCTTGTAATTAGTGAAATAGAATTAGTGAGTGGATGATCTAAAAGGAGGTGTAAAGCAAAAAAAGAAATAAAAAACCAATTAAGCATCTCAAATCCAATCTCGCCCCAATAGAAAACAAAGAACCTTATTTTCCTTAATTGAATGCCAAGTTACAACTCTGAGATCTCTGCTCACCAACTAATTATTGCTGGCCTTCGAGAAGATACAATTTATGATAACCTATGGACGAGCTAGTATCGACATATTGTAATCTAAAAATAGATGGTTTACCACTCTGATTAATACTCAATTTGTATATTTCACTACAATCCCTATTGCCTTAGTTAAATATCTAGGTTGTCATGATTGTTTGTATGAGACCGATTGAATGAAGGGCAATTTTTCTCATGACTCGTTCTTTTTCATGAGACCAAAGCAAGCAAACACTCCCTAAAACCTTACGAAATTCATTAATTTTGACAATAGGAGTTTATCTACCCACCCCCACATGTTGGCCGTTGACCTCTTGGTTTTCTTTAATTTATCTAGCTTAGCAATCTCACATATGGCCCTGCTGCTTATTTGACAATGGTTTTTATTGTTAAATTATGTTTTGATTGATGATCTTATGTCAAATATGCTTTTGGAATTTTATTGCCCTCGGAATGGACTTCCAAATTCTTCATTGCATTCACTTCATACTTGTAAAGCCATGGACTATAGTAAATGATATACATTGTTTTGTTAGAATAGAGTTTTCACGTATCACTCTAATGTCCTCAACTTTGTACTGCGATTGGTTAATGTAGCTAGCCGGTAGGAACTCAAGCCTTAGATTCATGTTTTCCTACCATACCAAAATAATAGAGTTGTCAGTTTTTGCATCATTTTGTGTTACATCATTCAAATCCATTTCTTTGTTGGTTCCAAAATTTCATTCTACTATAAGTATGGTTCTACAAGTTGCTTTATTTGCGTTACTTCATGACTACATTCTTCTTTTTTTTGAATTCTCCAATTATGGCTCATAGCTAGTGTTATCTCTCATAATATGTTTATTAATGTAGTTGTTCTTTTCATAATTCCGTGCCATGCATAAAGCGCTCATCTAGTTCTTGGCCTAGGTACCCCTTCATCAAAATTGGACGGGATCTACTAAAAAAATAATAAATAAAAAAATAAAATAAAATGGGATAGGATTGAGTTATGAATCTTTGACTCAACAAAAATGATCTGAACCTTTTGAAGTCATGCAACATAAAACCCTTCAGTAAGTCCACCCTGGCAATCTTTTGTCATCAATAAATTAAAAAAAATTATTATTATTATTATTATCGAATTTTGGAATCAAAAAGTTGACAAGACCTGGTCTAAATGACAACCTAGCCCATTAAAAATAAATAAATAATGAAATAAAACTTTTATTTTGTCATAATCCATGTCTTAGTTCTAGAATGAACTCCTTTTTTATTTTAGCGAACTCTATTTGTAGATTGGGATTAATTATACGGAGCAAGTGTTTTCTATTTTATCAAGCTTTATTTGTCTACTATGGAAGTAAACATATTCATATATGATTATTTGGAAAAATGTGTCATTGTGTTAATGATCACAAGAAGGTAAAGTTGTTTTTATATCTGTTGTAAATATTTTTAGTATCTTAACTCATATGCATCATTATCATCAAAGCCTTGTTTTCTTTTCTTTTAACCCAAATCCCATGAGCCAGACATTAGTTTTTGGTTTACTTTGTTTTTCTTTTTGAGTATCTTGTTATTTTCCTTTCTCGCTATTAACTAATTGTGTTAGGGATGATTAATAGAAATACTTCTGGAATGTTTATCATGTTACATAATAATCATAGTGTTGGGTCCTTTACTGTAGTAGTTAGTCATTGACCCTCATTTGTTTGATTTTATCTTCTCATTATCAAGTAATATAACTTATTTTTTATGTGTTGTTTAATTGCTTATATTTAATCTTAGAATTTCATATATACTTGGATATATATGGATCCACCCCTCTCTGATCTAATAAAATCCAATGCGATTTGATTTATATATACTCATATATACTTAAAAGTTGTGCTATACTTATTAATAAAGGTAATTCCATAGTTTTGTTGTAATTTTACTGAATTTTAATCCATTTGAGTTTCTTGCAAGTAATTTTCTATTCACTATTTTATATAATACCAAGTTCACTTCGGTTTATTTTATCAATAATATATAATATTTTGATAATTTTAGTTAATTTATTAACATTAGCCAATTTCAAACTATAATCTGAATTCAATTTGAATGTAAATGAATCAATTTCTTTTCTCTTTGATCTGATTCATTTGTAGCATTAGAAGAATAAAATAAGGTCTTCACTTAAAATAAAATTAAGTCAAATTTGGTAATTGTTAATATGTATAGAGAATAATATCATTAGGGATAAGTGAGTTATTGCATGATGAAAGGGTTAGAAATGATATGAACATATCCTTGAATTTTTTTTTTGCCATGTATGGAAAAGGTTTATCGTATTCAAAACATAGTGCATTGCAAGTGCTAATAATCAAAATCCTATTATAAGAGATATAAGTTATTTTGGGTGTGGTAATAGATATCTTTAAGTTATTAGGCTACCATGGGAACCACAACATTTTTTTATTTAAATGTGATTGGCTTGATGTTTTAAACTATGGCAGAAGTGTAGGTACATAGTGGTCACTAAGACCCTTAAATTATAAATGGTGTCAAACCAACACTACACGAACACTTGCGATGAATCCAGAACCCATCACATGATTACGATGAGTTCATCACAAATCCGCGATTGCGATGAATTCACACATAAGACAGGTCACGATGAACTTTGGCTAGCACAAATATGCGATAAAGCTAAGACACATGCGGGTTTGTGAGGAACCCCAGATACATGGACTTGCGATGAACCTAAACATGCGTAAAAAAAAATTTCAGGCGCTAAAAAGTGAGATTACCCCCAAAATGCAAATTGCTTATCTACAATTAAGGATGCAAATGGATCGGATCACATTTGAATCAGGGTACATTTGAATTTGATCCAACACTGTTCATATTGGATTTGATTGGATCAGATAGGATTCAATTTGAATTCGAATCCTATTGGTAAGTTGGATCTTCGGATCTGATCCGATCCGACTTGTTTTCATTAAAAATTAATAAATGATTAAAAAAATATATATACTAATTTAAATAAAGCAAAAACAAAAAATACAAATATTTTTTAATTATTTTCATAATATATATACATGATTTTTATAAAAAAATAAATAATATAACAAATTTATAAAAATATAATATAAAAAATATATTTATAAATAAATAAATAACATATATATGTATTATATTTTTATATTTATAAATATATAATATATATCGGATCGGATATGGGTGACCCAAATCTGATTCCGAATATGTGAACAGGGGTGGTCGAATTCGACCAAATAGGATCAGGTCTTGGATCTTGCACCCCTATCTACAATTTACCCTAAACCTATGTTTGGTTTGAAGGAAAAGATAAAGTTCAAAGAGGTTGGGAAAGGAAGGGGAACCTATACAAACCTATACCTTTCCTTTTCCTACCTTTTTCTTTCGAATAGGCCTGGCAATCGGGTTGGGTGGGTCGGGTTCGTGTTGGGTCAAGACACCTCGGGGTTGATTTCGAGTTGAGTTGAATTTCGAGTTGGATTATCAAATGCTAGACCCTAACCCTAAATGTTCGGGTTAGGATTGACCCATGGGTCAATTTGGGTCATCCCAAAAAATAACAAAAAAAAAAAACTACATGAAAAATGGTAAAATTAAAGGAATTAACCTTAAAATTTCAAGTATAAAATAAAAAAACTTGAACACTTAACAATTTAAAGAATAAACAATAAAGAGTAAAGATTAAATAGAAAAAATTAAAGAGCAGAAACTTCTAACAATGCATAAATAGTCCCAATTAGACTTCTAATCGGGTCAGCGGGTTGACTCATGACCCAATCCAACCCAATTTCCGGGTCGGATCGGGTTATTCTCACATTCAGATAGTTAAATATGAGACCCTAACCCTGTTTTCTCGGGTTGGATTGAATTGGGTTCGCGGGTTGGGTCAACTTTTTGTTAGTTCTACTTTCGAACCAAACACAACCTTAAGTAAATATATGCTGTATCAAGGGCAAAAAAAGGAACATATGGAGAGGGGTCGTACGATGCCTATCCGTTATCTTCCACGAGGCAAACAAACCTAATCCGCATTTCACACAGAGAAGGGGGAAAGACAGAGCAGAGAGAGTGGAGCTGTGAAGCAATGGCATGGAGTACTTGTACGGCAACCACTAGCTGTTTAGGCGGCGGCGGTGGTGGTGTGAATGCTTGGAGTATGATGTCGCTGAAGTCGGCCCTCCCATCGATTCCAACTACTCGAACTCCTTCACTCCGTTTCCCGCTTGGACCACATTCTCCGTCGTGTCAAGTCAAGTTCACTCACCGGAAAACCCCCAAAGCTCTTCTCCCATCCTACACGGGCCTCTCTATGCAGTCTACTCTTCCCTCTTTTGGTTCCCATGGAGGTAATAAGCACTCCCTTCTCTTCCATTGCGGCAAAGTAAGCGTTTCTCTGTTTCATCTCTGTAATAATATCCTATGGCTTCACAATGGTGAATTGTTTACAAGTTGTGCTGTCGTTTTTCTACTCTGAATTTTAAGAAAAAAACATAGGGAATTCGCTCGATAATTCTTTGTTTTTGATCTGCATTTGATCCAAGTTCAGATTTTTCCTGCTCCGGCTGTTGTTTCTTGAATTGCAACTTTACAAGAATTGGGTTTTCTCATAAGAGTGAGTTCGGACGCAGAGATTCTCAAATCTACTGTAGAATTTTACCACCAATGCGGCTTTAGCTGTTTAATCCTGGAAAAGTTATAAGGCCTTTTCTTTCTTTTTTACTTTAAATGGTTACAATGTACACTCTCCGTCTAGAATTCATTGTTTTCTTAATATTTTTATCATTTTTTGCCATCCCATTTTTCTTATTTATGAAAATCAGAATAGCCACTTGGTAATTTTCAAAATCAGATGCTCTTGCACTTTCTATTCTTACATGTTGCTGAAGGAGTTCGTTCCTTGTCAAAATTCCACTTCTCTCTGCTGGTCAGTCACCTTTGTGGGGTTGCTAGGCGAGGGCTTTGACCACTTTTATCTGTCTTGCTTTCAGATTCTACTAGCTTTGAGCATAATTTCATCATAATTGACAATGGCAGTCGATTCTTTGCCATGAGACACGGAAAGAAAGTGCCAAAGCTCAACAGGCCTCCTGACCAGCGTCGCGCATTATTGCGAGGTCTCACAACTCAGCTCCTTAAACATGGTAGGATCAAAACTACAAGAGCAAGAGCAAGTGCCATGAGGAAGTATGTTGACAAAATGGTCACTTTAGCGAAGGATGGATCTCTTCATAAAAGGAGACAGGCCTTGGGCTTCATTTATGAAAAGCAGATTGTCCATGCTTTGTTTGCAGAAGTCCAAGACAGATATGGAGATAGAAATGGTGGGTATACAAGAATCATCAGAACATTGCCAAGGCGAGGGGACAATGCACCAATGGCCTATATTGAGCTTGTCTAGGCAGTGTCAGTTTGTTTTGAAAATCCTTCTTGTATGGTTCAAAATATTTAATTTTGTGGACAGCTGTTTCTGCAAATAAGATTTTTCAGCATATGCAATTTTACCTGTATTTGATGTACAATGTCTTCTAGCTTGCAGCCATTGGTATTTGACTGCCAGTGGCCTTTTAAAGAAGTTGGTTGTGGCACTGCTCACCATGTAACAGGTAGGGGCTATTGTTCAGTTTGATAGTAAAACCTCATCTGGCAAATGTAAAAATGCGGGTTTGAGTTTTGATGGTTGCCACTTTGTGCAAAAATGCTTCAGGTTAGGTCTATTTGCTTAAACCTTTTTCAATGAATAGGTCCTAATTTACTAAGAGAACAAAAAAAAAAGAAAAGAAAAAAGCACAAGGCAGCTACAGAAGGACATAAATTGCCTCCAGTGAGGCAAGAAGAACAAAGAGGAAAGGCCAGCAATTACAATAACAACACCACCTAGCCCAAAAGCTTACACAAGGAATTCAGCACCCTAACATGGTCAACTACTCTAAAATCTATTCTATGAATCCACCTAAACGAGATGTTCACTCCAGTGCTAACAACCTATCCTCCCTGACCAGATGCTGAAGGAGCCAAATGCCATTCTCAGCCTTATAACTGTCCAGTCAAGTTGTAACAAAATCATTTGGTTATAGGTATTAGGTAACCTAAATTCATATACTTATCATTCATTGGCTGAGACTGGTTATAAAAAATTTAAAGCAAACTCATAATTACTTAATCTAACTGAAATTGAAACTGAAAGTCACGAGCTTTTAAAGATACATAGAGCAGAATAATATTGTGCAAATGTTTTGAAATAATGAATTAATAAAAAATTTTGAAATAATGGATGAGTGAAGGGGCATGTAGTGAAACCTTGTTATCATTTATCAAGATTTTTTTGTGTATAGGACGTGTTTAAGATGTTCTCAGAATTGACTTGGGCAATTTCGTACTACTTTTCATTGTATCATTTGTTTAATCCATTTTTTAGATTTTGATTTTAATAGGTAAATCACATCCATCTCCACATGTAATCAGATGTAAACCATTCCACTATAATTGGCGTGGTCTTTTAGTATATGAGTCAGAGTCAACATATAAGTTTTGTGTCTAGCATATGTTTTTGATCAGTAAATTTTGTTGTCTTTAATGTATATTTCTATTTCTATCTTCTTAAGGTTTCCTGTGCCCAATGTTCCATACTTTTGTGAGCTTACCAGCTAGACAGTTCCAAAACAACACAATTGTTACTTTAAAAACCAGCTTAGGATTGATTCATGCACTTTTATGTAGTCTATCATTGTTGTACCATTGGTTTAAGCTGTTGTTGGGCAATCCAAGGACAAAATCCTACCATGATTCATGAGGAATAGGCAGGACTGTATATAGCCAGTGTTCTGCTTTCACCCTTTAGCAAGTTGGCATGTTCTGCATCTTTATTATATGAGCAACATCATTTTTCAAACTAGCCAATAAAACATATCTTCCACCATAATAATGGTCTTATCTCTACCAAAATGACCTACTACAACTCCAACATGTAACTCCAAATAACAAAACCCCGTAAAGAGGTATTTGATAGACATAAGCGGGTATCATAAAACAAATAACTATTATGTTCTGAAAAGGAAGGATACTTGTCTTGCTTCCCTGCTTCTAAATCAGCATAAATGATGCTGAAATCCTTGCAACCAGCATAATCTTACTTTAATTCATTAAAATCAATGACTTGGACATTCATGGAAAGAAGTATGTAATTCATCTGACGATTAAAACCATAAAAAGGTATTCTTACTGTCTGGTCCTTGCAGGTTTTTCTATTGTCTGATCTGGTCCTTGAAGGGCTTTCATACCTTTTGGCCTTGTCCTTGCAGGGATTTCCCACAGCTTAACCAGGTAAATTATTGTCTTTACCAAGGTTTTCCTTCTGTTGCTAATATTCTGTTCTGACGCAATTAGTCTTCGTAGTTCTGTTCCGATGCAATTAGTCTTCATGCCTCTGGTCTTTGCAGGGTTTTTCAAAGCTTAAGCAGGTAAATTTATAATCCTTGATTCAGTTTTTGGGTGATTCATACATCTTTTCATCTGGGTGATAAAAGATTTTTCATTTATAGATTGACATATAAAAGTGCTGGAGATGGTTAGTTGTGCTGGTCAACAATAATTTATTTTTTGTTATTCTCAACCATGTACTCTAAAAAGTCCTGGAAGAACACTATACCAAGGCACAACCTTCATTGCAAGAATTATTTTGAAAAACATGGCCTTTCTTGAGGGGAAAAATTTTTCATTTCTATATCGAGATATAAAAGTGCTAGATGATGTTTAGCTGTTCTGGTGAACAGTAATTTATTTAAGAAACTAATTATAATGGAAATAAAATTAAACCAAAAAGCAAATATTTTCTTATCAAGAAAAGGCATTATTTAAAAAAATTTAGGGAAATTTAATAGTTGGTAGTCTTCCCCAAACCAACAAGAGTAGTATAGGCTTTCTCGTTTAATACATAGAAAAATAAAAGAAATCTCACTACTATTTAGTTTGCATAGTGGCTGCACCTTTATGCATTGTGTTTTATTTGTTTATGCTTCTTTTCAGCTTTAGCTTAGACATTGTTCTAATCCTGATATAAAACAATTGCATAATATTTTCTTGTTAAGTTGCAAACATTTGCATCAATTCGCAGTGGAGCCAGGGTGTCTAGGGGTATAGGTTGGAAGGAGACTAAAATGGGATTCTGTCCTTGATTAATAGTGGTAACAATACAGAATGGTTCAGGAAGGGTCATAGTGTGATAAAGGGACCTCAAAAAGCACTAGAGGCAGAGACCATGGTGTGATAAGGAGAGAGACTAGGGCTTTGGGGAACATCTGCACTGTAGGCTTAGAAATTGAAGCTTGGAATTTCTTATTTTTGGTAAATTTTCTTTTTAGGTTGGTTTTTTCCAATGAACACAATGTTCCATATTGAAGGYTTTGTTGGAATTCTTTAAGTTTTTATCACATTTCCTCTATCTCAACCTGTTACTTTTAAATGGAATGAGATTTAAGGCAATCCATCGACATTTTATTGTAAGGAATAATGTTGCCTTTTTATTACCCATCAACATTTTATTGTAAGGAATAAAGTTGCCTTTTTATTAAAGTAGCAGGGTGTTCTAGCCTAATAGAAAATAAAGCTTTACATAGAGAGGAAAGCAAAAAAGGGTGTTCATTGGTTTTTTCCAATGAACACAATGTTCCATATTGAAGGCTTTGTTGGAATTCTTTAAGTTTTTATCACATTTCCTCTATCTCAACCTGTTACTTTTAAATGGAATGAGATTTAAGGCAATCCATCGACATTTTATTGTAAGGAATAATGCTGCCTTTTTATTACCCATCAACCTTTTATTGTAAGGAATAAAGTTGCCTTTTTATTAAAGTAGCAGGGTGTTCTAGCCTAATAGAAAATAAAGCTTTACATAGAGAGGAAAGCAAAAAAGGGGATAATAAAGACACACAAGTGTGTTATAGGCAAATGGGAATAAAAAATAAAGAAAAAAAAATAAATGTTTGAATAATGGTCAAAGTCAGCGGTGTCCAAATATGTTAGAAATATTTGTTTTTTCAGAAACCTATAAATGCTTATATGCTTAAATTAAATCAAGGCCGTTGTCCAAATTCATGATGCTACACAAGTTTTTAGGGATCTGAGTTACTAACTTACCATTTCAAGTTGTACCATATCTTTTGCTTTTAGGTGCAGGAAATTCCATTATCTTATTTTCCACATGCAACTATGAGCTCAGCTTCTTCCAACAAGGAAACAACCATACCAACTATCCTAACAGGCTTTTTTTAGGGATACCACCTTCCCCTATTCATTTATTTATTTTTTGATCAACTATCTATCCCCTATTTGATTAGCTACATTGTATTTTCTGATTCCATGTATAGCAGGAGAGAGAGTAGTCTACTTTGACTTGAAATCAAAGTAATTTCCATACTAAAATTATATGAATGATAGTTTTACTATGTGGTCAGTTAATAGAATAATAGATGCTGTTCCTTTCTGCCATGTAGCTAACTATTATCTTTATTCACATCTTGAAAAATGCCTCGCCTTGAATATATGCATTTTTCTTTTGATCCACTGTATATTGTTTTTCTTGGAATAGAGGTTCAATCTCTGATATGGTCCTGTGTTCTTGGGAATAGTAAGCAATTTATATGCTGTTTTCTTTTCATCCTGTGTGTATTCCTTTTTTTTTTTGATCAATAACCGTGAATTGTATTAATTTATATTAGAAAAATTACAAAGCAAGGAGGCTAAACAATCTTAGCTCCCTAGAACAAGCATTGAACACCAACATACAATTACAATACGGCCCAAAATAAAGAGTTTTTGTTCACCCCTTGCCTAGCTAGACCATCTGCCAGTGAGTTTGCACTTCTCTTTACCCATTTGTACTGAATTTCAATATCCTTAGTCAGTCACTTAAATTTTCTCTTTTCATTGCTGTAATTCCATATCCTAGCGTTGTCCTCTTTTAACCAGTTCACCACAACTTCAGGGTCTCCTTCTATGATCATCTTATTAAATTGCATATCCTTGACTCTTTGTACCCCTTCAAGAGTTGCAAGTATCTCAACCCTCAAGGAATCTCCCTCCCCTATTGGTCCAGAAAACATAGCAAACAGATTCCCATGTTTATCTCTTATTGCTCCTATTCCGGATGGCCCTGGATTACCCATACTGCTGCCATCAAAGTTCAGTTTAATAAAGCCATGAGGTGGAGGAATCCAACAAGAGTTTGATGCCTTCTTAGCTGAGTTGGCCAACAAACTGCAACCCTCATACATCTCCACATAATCTTGGCCCTTTTTGTTGGCCAACTCAGCATGGAACTGAATAAACATTGCACATTCAAAGGGAGGGGGGGTCCACCTGCACCCAAACAAAGAAGTACACCATTCTCAAATGACTTTAGTAAACCGACAGGAAATTAATAAATGGTATTCAGACTCACCATCAACTTTACAAAGAGCACACCAGTGAGGACTCAAACAACTATTGAGCCTTTTTCTTTGAAGTAAATCACCTATATTAACTCTTTCCAGAAAGGCTTCCCAACAGAAACTCACAACCTTTGGAGGTATAGGAGGACAACACACCTCTTTAACAGGGAAGGACAAACCCAAAGAAGAAGATTGTGTTAGGGCTTTAAAGAAAGAAGCACATGTGAAAGAACC